TTCCACACGATACCCAATTCCCGACGTCCCTGTTGTTTACCTCGTCGAACCTACACCTTCTAACGTCGAAGCGATCACAAACGACCTTTCTCGCGGTCTTTACTCTCCTGCCTACGTCAACTTCCTCTCTTCCGTACCTAGACCCCTCCTCGAAGACTTTGCGTCTCAGATAGCGACAACCGGAACCGCAGAGCATGTCGCACAAGTTTATGATCAGTATCTGAACTTCATTGTGGCTGAGCCGGACCTTTTCAGCTTGGGACTAGGAAACGATGCATACTGGAAGATCAACAGTGCGCAAACCAGCGACGATGATCTGGACGCGATTGTGGATAGGATTGTAAGCGGGTTGTTCAGCGTTAGCGTCACAATGGGTAGGTCAATCGGCATGGTCCTTGTTTCTTTGACTGATGGATGAAAACGAACAGGTGCCATCCCCATTATCCGGTGTCCTAAGGGCGGCGCAGCAGAATTGATAGCAACAAAGCTGGACCGCAAGCTACGCGATCACATCCTTAACTCGAAAGACAATTTGTTTTCAAACAAGAAGAACACGCCTGGAGTTCCCTCATCGCGACCCGTTTTGATTATTGTCGATCGCAACGTGGATTTAGTGCCTATGCTTTCCCACTCGTGGACGTACCAGTCTCTGGTACAGGACGTTTTACAGATGCGCCTCAATCGGATCACCGTAGAGTCTACCGACGAAGCAAACCCTGCGAAGGGCGTGACAAAGAGAGCATATGACTTAAATAGCAACGACTTCTTCTGGAAGCGTAATGCCGGCGCGCCATTTCCTCAGGTTGCGGAAGACATCGATGCGGAGCTTACACGTTACAAGGAGGACGCTACTGAGATCACAAAGAAGACCGGCGCTTCCTCGATTGAAGATCTCCAGAACGACACCAGCGCCTCTGCACAGCACCTCAAGGCTGCCATTACACTTCTTCCGGAACTTCGGGAGCGCAAGGCGATTCTTGACATGCACATGAACATTGCGACCGCCCTGCTCAAGGGTATCAAAGACCGCCAGCTGGATAACTTCTTTGAACTGGAAGAAAACATCACCAAGCAAACCAAGGCCCAGATCATGGAACTCATCAACGACTCCAGCAAAGGCAACGAACCCCTGGACAAGCTCCGTCTTTTCATCATCTGGTTCCTGAGCACTGAAACAGAGGTTTCCCGCTCTGAGATGACCCAATTCGAAGAGGCCCTCACTCGCATCGGCGTCACAGATGTGACCCCCATCGCCTATGTCAGACAGGTCCGTGAAATAACGCGCATGACCATGATGACTACCGCAACAGCCGCTCCCCAACAGCAGTCCTCTAACCTCTTCCGCGGCTTCTCCTCTCTCTCCAACCAACTGACTGACCGCATCACCTCCGGAGCCCTCGGCGCCAACTTCGACTCCCTCATTTCCGGCGTCAAGAATTTCCTGCCCGCCAACAAGGACCTGACTCTGACCAAGATCACCGAATCTATCATGGACCCCACCTCCGCATCCAGCTCCGCTATCGCCAAGACAGAAAGCTACCTCTACTTCGACCCCCGCAGCGCCAACGCCCGAGGCGCCATGCCTCCGGCCTCGGCTTCGCGCAACGCCCAAGGACAGAGCCTGAACAGCTCCGGACCCGGCATGAGCGCCACCTTCGGCCAGCGCCGACAGGCTTTCAACGAAGCGATTGTCTTCACCGTCGGTGGCGGCAGCATGGACGAATATGGCAACTTGCAGGACTGGGTAAGCCGGACAAGCGGACAACCAGGCGCTGACGGTGCCGGGGCCGCCAACCGTGGGGTGCATGGGGCACCGAAACGGAGGGTTGTTTACGGCAGCACGGATCTGATGAACGCCAGAGACTTCCTTACGGAATCGTTGGCGAAGTTGGGTAGGGAGGGCTGAGCATGTTTTGACGCAGCTGGGCGGTATTGTGAGAGGAGTGGTCGCAAATAGAATTTGCCTTCAACGTATAGTACTTAGTGTAGCTAATTGAAACGCTTATGGTGATGATCCCTATGTCAAATCCCATCGTAAGCGTGGCGTTTCCGCGAGAGATACACGATAACAAGGGTAAAGTCGCTGTCGGACACTACTGGACAATACACCTACTAGAACCAGCTAACCCTACCTAAAGTGAAGTTTTTCCATATAACAAACAATATAAATTCCATTAAATGCCAGTTAATCGGCCGCCGCAAGAAATCTACCTATCATGCCAATAGACACGGTAATAAGCATTAAACAAACGAAATTAAAGTCACTGATGCGCGGTGCATTGCAACCATTTAGGATTCAGTCACAAAAGAAAACCATAATTAGAACGAGCAGTCCTGAGAAACAAGTTGACCACAACCATTATACCCAGGTTCCACACCCCCAGGAGAACGAACCAGTCCCTTCGAATCGGTATCGATGGTCCAGCTCAAACCATGTCCTTTTCCCTCTTGAAGCTCTGCACCGAGATCTCATGTTCAACTGTGATGCCGATTTCCTCGGTATTAGTCTGCTGCTTGAGCTGCTTGGAGGAACCATTATCGGCGTAGCTGGTTGAAACTGGATTCATAGTTGGCATTGAGGAAGTGGTTGCACTGGTAGTGTTTCTACTGTCCAAGACAGGAAAGGAGAGCACGTTCCAGAGATTGCGGCCTGACGAACCAGATCCGGAGCCGGTGGCAGGGCTAGAACCAGCGCCAGTGGAGGCTTTGGTCAAGGTGACGCCGGCCCAGATGGAGGAGAGAGGGAGAGAGATGGTCACTAGGGTGACGACATTGGAGGATAGGGCTGGGACGGCGGCGATGTAGTGGATGATTGAGAAGATGGCTGTGGACGAGGATTCAGTTATAGATATAATGGTAAGAGAGGGTGGGGGAGGATTCACATACCTGGAATGACCAGAGTCTGGCAGCCCATAACGAAGATGACCTTCATCGGGCCAAAGTCCCGCACACCGAGTCTGCGTCGCTGACGGATAGCGAATCCGAGCTTGCCAACGAAGATGGCGCAGAAGAAGCAGATGCTGATTGCGGCGGTGATGTTCTCTGCGCTCTGAAGCCAGACAAGATGGATGCTACTTTCGGCTGCCATGATTGTTATGGCGTTCTCGACCATCATTCCCATACGGAATCCGACTGGAATCAGTGCAATCAAGATGGACAGTGAGAGGAGGATTTGTCGGTATACACGACCGAGGTTCGCGCAGATGACCTGGACCTGCAGGACGAGCGAGGCCTCGATGCATATCACGAGGATGGTGTAGAACACCACTGCGATGACGGAGTTGGCATATGCGGAGGTTGGCACTTGGGAGAAGTCTCCGGAGAAGTAGGCATACACTCTCACGAAGCCGGTAGTGAAATACACGATTTGACAGAAGAGACGGCCAACGTTGGAGAGCAGGGCAGCGCAATTGAGGATGAAGACGCTGGAACTGCGCTTCTCAGGTCTGGTCAGGAGCAGGAGAATGACGAAGAGCACGATGGAAGCTCCAAGCTGGGCGCCATAGTTGGTGCAGATCTGGATGCAGTACTGCAAGAAGGTGTCAATGTCCTGCACGTTCACCTCGAACGCAGTCCCATCGCCAGTATGGAAGGTGACGTTCTGGGTAAAAGGATCCAATGAGGACATTGTGGCTGTTAGATTGTAGCAAGTATGGTTGAAATGCTCTGCAACGTGAGGATCAAGTATGACGAGTTGCTAAGGTGGACAGGTTCCTTCGACGGAAGAAGATGGGAGGTTGAGAAGATGACTTGTATAGACCATCGCAAGGGGATAACAGTTGTTCGGGCAATACGACCAAGCCTGTCTTCCAACTTAAAAGCCATGGCCGTACATTCATCGTGCCAAGGCATCTTGCGATGCTGCATATTGTCTTGCAACACCGAAACAGACAATATGTAGGATGGCGCTGATATGAGGGCAACAATACTATGATGGAACAAAGTGGATATCAACCCTAAACAATGCCAATCTTCACCGGATTGAGAAATAAGCTCCAGAAGGTGTTTGTGAAAATGTTAAATGTAAGACAAACAATATCAATTTCATTTCATAGAACAATGGCAAGTGAAAAGGGGGGCCCCTAATGGAAGACTAGATTTTCGGTCAACACTAATCACGGTACAGACATGTATTCACCTCTTACCTCTGGTAATATATTTGTCCATGAGAATATTCGGGTCTGTTGGACTGGATCAATATCCTTGTATCTGTGCATTCGTCTAGCTACTATGTATCTTGGGCTGTGTAGTCTATCCCAGCCAGAATTTAGGAATGAGAAGCCGCCGCCCCCATATTGCACGTGCTGAACAGTGCAATGGTCTCCTGGAGCAGAGAGGCCTTAGTCTTCTGGTTGGCCTGCTAGTGTGTTATTTCAGAAAGAATGCGTTCGGGCTGAAACACCTTGGCCCAAAGCTAGATGGTTGGTTATACGTATTTCTTGCGAAGTTGTCGGATGTTTTGGGATTCCCATCAAGCTATTGGCCGTAGAAATATCATCAAGAATCTTGTTGGTTTTGCGCCATCGCCGATATGTGCTTAGCATTGAGTTCACCTAGAAGCAAGTGTCTGGAGAGCTTCAACCAGACTCATGTTGATTCCAGGCCCCCGGCTAACACTATCATTATACTATTGATTTGGGGTTGGGAGAAATGGAATGCCAGACACTACTATGATTTGGTACCACCACGTAGTTCAGTACCCTATCCTTTTTATATCTTCCACTTCCAGCCACAGCACTATACTTCTTACTACACTCTACTCTCCATCCGTTGACCCTGCACAATTCCTAACTTACTAACAGATCTTGAAGGAGTTTAGTCTTGCTAGGATAGATGCTTTTAAACATGATTGAGTATTGACAAGGTGATGTTATAGATCAAGATGTCAGCGGGAGAAGTTGCGGGGAACTGCCGCGGCGGTGGAGCGAGGCTGCGAGGCACCAACAATGCCCAGTTGGTCTAGCTCCCACTCCCACTCCAACTCCAACTCCGCCATCCCACTTTCCCCATCATGCGCCTTCGCCCCCTCCAACATGGCTGCTGTGCCGCAAAGGACGCTTAACTGGCTGTACAGTGTCCTTATCAGGGTAGATAATCACCAAACACACGCCCATACAGTCTTCCACTGACAAGGGATAGGACCACTACGATCCCCGACAAACCTACCAGGACCCCAATCGCACCTACTATGATGTAGCCAATGTGCTCGGTCAATACCCTTCGCTGGGCCCGAGGACTGAAGTTTACAGTATGCCACCGTTCTGCGACCTTACTGCGCTCTTGCTGACCGCATCTTTCTCTCGACTTCTAGCATACGAAAATGGTTTCTCCGCCCTCCTCCTTCAACTGACCGGCACGTTGCCTGTGACGTTCCGCGGCACTGTTTACAAGTTTCCCATCACGCTATGGATCCCCAACACATACCCCAGGGAACCACCATTGGTTTATGTTACACCAACACAAGACATGGCTGTTCGTGTAGGTCAGCATGTCACTCTGGAAGGGAGGGTGTACCATCACTACCTGGCACACTGGGCTGAGGCATGGGAGGTTAGTCATCGTGCAGTCGCAATGCGCATGTCATATTGCTGACACCAAAGCTTAGCGATCATCTTTGATTGATTTCTTAATGATACTTCGTGAGGTTTTCGCCAAGGAGCCGCCGGTGAAATATAAACAACAACAGCCTGTGCAGCCGCGACCGGCGCCAGCGCAGGTACAGGCACAAGCACCTCCTCTACCCCCTCTGCCTCCGGAGCTCGATACCACAATCAATCGGCCCTCGCCTACCCATAGCGCTCCGAATGCCTCCCCGCAGGTAACTGCTCAGGTGCCACCGCCGCCGCCCCCGAAACCTGGGCAAACACCTGAGCCACAATCACAGAGCACTCCGTCATCAGCGCGATACTCGTCTCCCCCTCCGCTACCCCCACTGCCACCGAAGGAGCATGATTCTAGGCGGCTACAGATGCAACCACAGGCAAGCATGGGCAGTCCTATGAACAGGCCACAGTACCCACCGGAGCGCAGCCAAGCACCTGCAATGGCATCCGGGCAGTATCATTTGCCCCAACAGCCGCAACACGTATCCCAGTCGACACCGGCATACCAGGCTGGGCCAGCGCAGTTCCGGCCATTGAATGGTGCCCACGTTACTCGTCCCGAAGATTCGGGTCGTGGGCTTCCGCAACAGAATACTTACTACCCCGTACAACAAGCCCCTCCTACAGTCTATCAGAGACCTCCGCCACAGCAAGTCCCACCCCAACCGTCACCACATGCTGGACCTCAGCAAGCGCAGCAACCAGCTCCACGTCCCAAGGCAGAGACGCAAGATCTTCTCACCTCTCCGTTTGAGCTCGAGCTCCCCTCGTTCACGCCCACCGGCCCGGCCCCCCCAATCCCACCGAATCCTGAGAAGGATGCCCTACTACGCGCTGTTTCCAAGACTCTAGCAGAAACACTGCAAGCAAATGTCGCACAGTCCGAGACTGCCGCTCAATCCTTGATTTCTCAATCCCACTCGCTGCATGCGGCGATTGCCACTCTTCAAGGCGAAGTATCGTCGCTCAACACACTCAATGCGACTCTTCAATCAAACACCACAACCCTGCAGCAATCTCTCATGCGCGCAGATGGCGTCATTGCCGATGCGCAAAGCCGTATATCATCTTCAGCCCCGTCATCGAGCACAGATCCCGTTGCGTCGGGTCTTCCACCGATCGACGACGTTCTCGTTGCCCCGACCGTTGTCGGCAAACAATTGTACGACTTGGTTGCGGAGGAACGCGGTATCCAGCAGGCCATCTACGCCCTTCAAGCTGCGCTGGTTAAGGGTGTCATTGGTGTTGAGACCTGGTCACGTCACACGCGTGGCCTTGCGCGTGAAGCGTTCTTGAAACGGGCATTGATACGGAAGATAGGCAAAGGCATGGGATTGGAAGTGCATTGATGTTATGATGATGGGATCACTCTTTTTTGATTGCGAGACCTATGTAGACGGATCTGTAGATAGATACCCATAAGGTCGATACATGTTGGCCAGACAATGTACATAGCTTGGCGTCCGTAGTTGGTTTGAAATAGCAAGTGCAAAAGCACTATTCCGTACACTTTTTAACAATCAGGAAACAGAAGCAAGATAATCAATTAGAAGATAAAGAAACCATAAAACCCAATGACCAAAAATTTTCAATCCTAAGACCTTCGACACAACTACCCGACAGTAAACCATCCCCACAACCATTATTTCCAACCCCCATTCCACCACCAACTACTACAATCCCTATATAATCTCCAACCATCCCATCCAATGACCCCATACTAGTAGTTCAAACCCAAACCCTAAACCACAACCCCCCCAACAACAGCAACAGCACCAACCAACCCAACCATCCACCCACTCACCGACGCAGAAACACTACTACCACCACTCGACTTCGTCTCCTCCGCAGCCTTCGCCTCACCCACCCCCGTCGCCGCAATCTGCCTCTTCACCTCAGCAAAGTAACTCTGCACGTCCGTCGGCAGCGCCTTATACCACTCGGGGGTATTTCCGGCGCTGAACTCACTCGCCATGGCGACGCGCTTCGCGGGCACGAAGAGTTGCGCGAGCGCTGTAGGAGGAACGGCTGTGATGACTTGGTGCACGACGGCGTGTGGTGGAGGGGATACGCTCTCTAAGTTGGGAGGTGGTTGGGTTTGTGTGGGAAGGGAGGGTTTTCTGTATGAGATTATCAGTAAACATATACTAATCGATTTACGTGCGATTGTTTTGGCTTGGTTAGGTTATTGGGAGAATGGGAGACACGTACAAGGCTTGCGCGAGAGCGATGAGGTTGTTGTCGTTGAGGTTCACATTAGGGATGGGTTCGGGGGCACATATGGCTGTGGTGGCTAGGAGGGTGGGGAGGAGGAGGAACAGGGAGGAGAGGCGCATTTTGGTGGTGCTTTTTTGGTTAGTATTATTTTTTTTCTCGATGGTATATTTGGTATCGATGGTGAGTGAGGTTGGAGGAAGTAGTAGAAAAAGAGGTACTACTGGAGGGTGGAGTGTAGTAGTAGATATTGGTATATGGGACGGGATGGGTTGGGACTGACTGGGACAGGGACAGTTAGGGTGCAGGGGCATACCATCATATGCATGGGAACTGGTTCAACTTGGACCGAGATCCGATGTGTGAGGGGAATAAACGGATAGGATCGTCGTGGAGAAGGGCCGGGGCTAAGATTGAGGGATCTGCATACTTAGGGGAACTTCTGAAGCGTAGTCTGGGCTTTTAGTTCGAGACTCATTTTTAGAGTTGGATTTTGCCCTATGCTTTTTGGGAATAGAGGGTACGGGTGTAACCTGTTGTGGATGGGAGGTAGAGATAGGGTGAAACGGGCTAGATCTGGGTGGGTGTAAATTCAAAGTTGGGTGTTATTTTATTTTAGGTCTGCAAATAGTCATTGGATTAGGGTGTGGCTCGCAATCTTCAGGTAATGAAGCTTCGCGGTAGATCTCGAATCTTGTATGTCTGGGTAGGTGGATACTATCCTAGGATCTGGTAGGCAATAAATATTTGACAATATGTGACTTTCTGGCTATTCTTTGTTTTCGGCGATTGCCCATGTTTAATGGTGAGCAGATAGGGCTATGCTCCCATCACTTTGTCCTCAGGACTCCTTGTCATCCACCGTGTGAGACATACTACCATCTATTTAGTACATGGGTCGCCAAACAAAGAATGATTAAAGGTACAACTCCCATTATTCGACAGAAATCAAGGAAGCTGCCCAGAATGCACAGCAGTTGGTACCTTATACCGTGTGAACCTCAACTTTATTAATGAAGATACTCTGCTGGTGCATTGAAGGTTCTATCCCTACACAATAATCGTAGCTAAACAGCAATGATCCACTACGTGAAGTACCGACAGGACGAACGTTTAAGGGAATAGCCTCTTGTCTTCATCATGCCGTCCATCCACTCACTAGGTCGGATCATGCCCGACGAGAATAAGAACTTTCCAGCAAATCTCCGGTGTAGAGCAAAAAGCAAGAAAGACAGAAACAATATACTTTGAAGACCACTGATCTTGTGTAACCATAAAAGACCCTCAACATCCACCAAAGAGAATATGCAGATGCTTTACAGACAAATGACTGCAAACTAAAAATGGCCTCCACAAATCCCTCATCGCAAGTGCCCTGGTTCGAGATGGAGCCAGCTAAGAATGGGATGAAGTCAGCTGAAGCGGTTACTATTTGGCTTCAAAAGGCCAGAATACCCTGTGCTTTCATTGGAGAGGTCGCTTTGGAAAGTTATGGCGTCAATATTCCCGTCAGGCTGGTAAGTTCTTCACCCCTAGCCTGCTATGCTAACATTCAAGAAGAAGGAAAGATAGTAACACAACTCTACAGGGAACCAGCCTCATTGTCGCCGACGCAAAAGTACACGAAGCAGCCGAAGCTCTTCGTGCCAACGGCCTCGAGCCCTGCAATGGAGGCAAGGATTGCGACTGGGAGAACGATGCTCTGACTGAAGAAGCGTCATCACCGGCGCCCTATCATTTCCACCTTGAACATGGCCCACAAGGTACCCCTCCATTTTGGTGTGAATCACTCAAATTGTACAAGAAGTCTGATATTGATCCAAAGCTGCCTGATCCTGGACTGGAAGTTCCAGGGCTTGAGGATCGGAATTACATGGTTGTTACGGACCCTCGCTTGCCGCAACTGGGGCATTGGAAGAGCAAGACTTATCCCGTTCAGATTCTCTCAAAGCCACAGTTTTTCGAGACAATGTTCAACCAGGCAGTCAAATGTCATCTAGATGGATTACCTGATGATCACCTCACCCCCTGGGAATGGAATGTGTTCCGGCTGAAACAGATGGGTGATGGTGGACAGCCTAACAGCCACATGGTTGAGGGTCTTGAAATGCCGGCGCGTCGGTACATTGAGCTCCTCGATATGGAAGACCTTAAGCCCAGCAGAGAATTTATCGCTCAGGTGAAACTTGAGAGAGGAGGGAAGGGTTTGTAAAGATGGTAGATTATCAAGTGATGACCTTCTGGTAGACACTATAGAGATAGAGACCCAGTGCCCAAATGGATTGATTTTTTACTACTTGGTCTTCTCTGTGATGCCCACTTCACTCACAAAACTTACCGGTATCTATAACATAAAGATATTTAGAGAGCTCTATTATCTGAGCCCTAAAGGTAGTAGCCATACACAGGCTTCTTATCCTCGACTAGCCCGTCCTTAGCACTGCCAATATTTCTGGTTAATATAGCCACAGATAATTAGCCAAATATATCAGCTGGCCTGCTGGCCCAATGGTAAGGCGCTTGACTACGGATCAAGAGATTGCAGGTTCGAGTCCTGCGTAGGTCAAATTTTTGCCTCCTCAGACTCCATCTGGAGGGTCTTTTTTTTTCGGTCCCAAATATTGTGGTGGATCTGATTAGCCTTTCCGTATTCAGCCTAGCGCGCTCTTCTTGTAGACCCGCCCTGTGATTGCTCCGCTCTCATGGTCAACATTAACGCCAGATACATGCCCGTTGACATTAAACCCGCCCTTTTCACCTTAAATCATGCGCTCATCGCTCCTAAGATTTCTACCCTAGCTAGGGCGGCGCTGGAAACCCTTAGATTTCAACAACCCCAACTTCACCCGGATCCCCAATTGGCACAAAATAGAAGAAGAGACTCTCCCCGAATATACCGCCTCACAGTACTATCCCACACGAATAGGAGAAGTCATCAAAGATCAGTACCAGGTCATTGGTAAATTGGGATATGGATCGAATTCAACAGCGTGGCTTGCGCGGGACATGGAGTGGGATATTCATGTTTTCCTTTGCTGTTAGTATATGTTGAAGGGTGTATCTGTTGCTTAATATACACATGAATTATCACTATAGTAACCGTCGCTATGTCATGCTCAAAATCTTCCTCCAGGCGGAGTGTATGGGGCGGCGAGTCGATGACGAGCTCGATATGTATAGACGGACGGAACAGGAATCCGGGAGTAACCATCCCGGTTGCGATGTTATAAGAACGTTGCTCGACACATTCTATATCAATGGGCAGGGGGATAAGCATCGCTGTCTCGTGCACCCGCCGTTATGGGAGAGTGTTCTAACCTTCTTGCGCCGTAATCCGGTGGAGAGGTTACCTTCGGTAATTCTTGCTGTTGTTCTTCATCGGTTGTTTATGGCGTTGGATTATCTTCATACCGAGTGTGGGGTTGCGCATACTGGTTTGTAGTCCACTATTATCCTGGGTTTGTCATACTCACGTGGTATAATGTTTTAGATATCAAGGCTGATAACATCATGCTCGGCATCAACGATGACTCTGTCTTCACTGACATTGAAAAAAATGAACTCCAACGACCCGTCCCGAGGAAAGAGGTCGATGACAGAATGGTATACATGTCCCGGGAACTTAAAATACCCAAGGATGTTGGTGGTCCCGTGCTCTGTGACTTTGGTTCTGCTATGGTTATCAATGATGAATATCAGAGGGAATTCATCCAGCCTCGGATTTATCGAGCGCCGGAGGTGATACTGGGAGTTCCGTGGACGTATAGTGTTGATATTTGGAATGTGGGGTGCATGCATTCTTTTTCTAACCTTGTGGAAGTCTGCTTATGTTTGATGAATAGATCTGGGATCTTTACGAAGGTGGTTCTTTGTTCACGGGATACGATCCTGTAGATGACAGGTACCGGAGTCGAGCGCATCTCGCGGAGATGATTAATCTTCTTGGACCACCGCCTGAGAGTTTGCTTGTGCGGGGGGAGTTGAGAGATAAGTTTTTCTCAGATGAAGGTATATTATACGGTATTTGAGGAGATTTGGATGAGGAATTTTGACTGAGGAGTATAGGTACTTTCCTCCATCCAGATTTATTGACCGAACGGATCCCCCTTGAAGAAAGGGAGACTACTCTGGAGGGAAAGGCAGAGAGGAAGGCATTTTTGCGTCTCATGCGAAAGATGCTTCAGTGGGAGCCGGGGAAACGTAGTTCTGCTCGGGAGTTGGCGGAGGACGAGTGGTTGCAAAGTTATATATGAGGTACTAAAGCCAGCCTCTCTGTACTACAGCGTCATGTACCAGATAGAAATGCGGTTGTAAACAATAGACCCTTCGTTGCTTCATAGTACGTGCTAATGGTACAAATCACACGGGATGATAAAGCAAATCAATAACTCCATTCCCATATCAAACAGTCATATCAATCATATCGTGTCACCCATCCCTCATCCGGAGGGAGTGATCAATACCTCTTCTGGACCTCACTCTCGACCCCCCTCTGCCTAACCTTCCCCTCATCATGCACATCCTTCCACTTCCTCTCCTCCTCCTCATCCCCCGTCGCCGCAGCAGCGACCTTCCCCACAGCTCCCTTAGCTCTACCCTCAACACCCTCCTTCCAATCCCTCACCTGGCCCTCCGCCTCCGCCTGCTTTCCAGCCGCATTCTGCTCCTGTCCAGCCTTCCTCAACCCCTCATTTCCAATCAAGTTGCCCAGAGACTCCTTCGCGGAACCGACAGTCTGGTCCCAGCTGCCGTTGCTGCGCTGAGGGTGGTCTGTTGCCGCAGCGCCCGTGGCAGGGTCGGCGGTAACGGGACCGAGCTTGGTGAAGTTGTTGTGGCTGGCGTTGTGTTCGGCTTCGCCGCGGGATTGGGTGGCAGAGCCGGTGGACTAAATGGAGGTTATTAGTTTGTGGGGTTGATGGTGATGGGGATGGGAAGGGGGAACGAACCTGGGTGGAGGAGTCGCCGGTTAGGGAGCCAGCAGCGCGTTGGACCATGCCGGTTGCTTGGTCGACGTAGGATTTTAGGGTCGAGGTGGTGGTGGTTGTGTTGTTGTTGGGGGAGTCGGTGGAGGACATTGTGGTTGTTGGTGTGTATGTAGTATTGGTTCAAGAAGTGTAGTAGAGAGTAGATTGATTGTAATGTAGTGTAGTGTAGTAGTGGTTATTTGCTTCTTTGTGTAATGCTGTGTTGATGGTGTTGATGTTGTGGGTGTATTTATAGATAGATGGTGGTGGTTGAGTCCGGGGTACATGACGTCAACCATCGACGTCATCGCCAGGCACGGCAGAGTCGAAGTGACACCAAAATGGATCCGCAACAGGAACAAAAGGGGCAAGGAGGCAAACAGGTAGGTGGAAATGACGTCCAGTCTCTCATGCATTGTTCATCAGTCTCGTCATAAATCAAAAGTATTCATCGCTCTATGTACATCGATCATCCCCCCTCGTCATCGTCATCGTCATCGGCTGTCTCAATGCTGATAGTGAAAACACCGACCCGCTCATTAGTGAATCATGAACAAACAAAACAAAAACAAAAAAAACATGCAGCATCTATTCCATGCAATGCTACCAATGACAAATGCCACCCTCACTGTCATCCGCTGCCCATGTTCCTGACAGCCCCACTACCTGGAGATGTCCATCGTGATCCTCGTCCACTTTGCTCAGCGCCGCGAAGCTAGACTCTGACGGTCCTGTACTCAACAGCCGACGGGCCCATGCATCGATCGCTGGCTCGCCCGTCTCGTCCCGTGCTTGTTTCAGGAACGGGATCAAGGCTGTTCCACCCGTGCCCCGCAATTTCTTGCTGTCCGGCTTCTCGCCGTTTCGGGCGGTCGCCAAGTTGATGGGTCTCTTGGGACTGGTTGCGCGCGCTGGGCGACTAAATCGAGCGTCCCGAGATTGAATAATGATATAGCGGGATACGACTTGGATGTGCTTGTCGCGCATTGCCCGAAGCATCGACAGACATGCGTCGTATGCAATGCACAGTGCCTTGTCCGACCGTCGTGCTTCCACATACTGCCGAATGTTGGCCACTGCATTGACATGCTCCAAGAAACGACGGTGCGCTGCAGGCATGTATGTACGCATCTCCTGGATGAACCCGTGACGAGGTGCCCCAGCAACCCCCTCTTTCTCGTCCTTTATCGGAGTGCTGCTCGGACGCGTCTCCCCGGTCGGACGGTGCTCAATGCCCAGAGCGATGTCGAAAAACTGGATCAGCGAGCTCTGGGCGTTGCTACCGCCACCATACTGTCGATACTCGGGCTCTCCGTTTCCATAATCGTACAACAGACCATGCGGGAGACCGGCATCAGCCATGTTCTTGCTGCCAGCCAGGTAGGGCCGGATGCGGTGGTAGAACACGTACGGATCGCAATGCTCGTACATACGCTCCAGCAGCGACCCTACCTCGTCCAGCACCTCGGCAAGTCGCTGCAGGCATTCGGTGACTACCAGACTGTTTCCAGCCCGGGCCGCCGCAATTGCTTGCAGCACCAGCGGGATCGAGGGTGCTCCACGAGCTTCAATGGCCACTGAGACCAGATAGAACCACTTCTCATCCAAAGACCCTGTGAATGTGTTGATAGTGTCCAGATTACGTAAATCATCGATCGGTTCCTCCGGGAAAATAGGCTTATAGTTCCACAAACACACCCCTGCATAAGTGGCCACGGGTGGCAGACCCAGGTGCTCGCAGACGTCGAATAGTGGGACGGTCAGCTGAGGCGGGATTTTCTGGTCACCAAGATTAGCTCAGGAACCACTTTGTAGCTTTGTGTCACCTACCTCTGCCGGCTTGCTGCCCCCCCACACATACCCATGCAGCATAAATACCAGTACGACATAGGCCCTGCGCCACTCGTTCTCCGACTGGAGATATGATGTAGACAGCGTGGACATATGGTCGACCACCTCCCGGATCCTCCGGCTAGTCAAAAGGGCCTGCAGGTTGGAAACGACCCACTCCCACTTGGCATAATAAGGGTCTGGCAAGACCTCAAGCGGTGGCTCTGGAGGGAGGAAGCCATGGTCTGCCGAGATGCCGTAGTCCGCCAATGCTGGAATCGGAGGAAGCATGATGATGGGACGGCTCAAAACAACCTAAACGACACAATATACGAGTCGGGGTGAGTGGAAATGCTCAAAGAGCCGGCGACAACGCCTAATATTAATGTAGTAGATGCTCACGTGCGAGTGGGCTCACAGCGAGGGCAGTCGCGTAAGGTTCGCTGATTGTCCGGGACTTGACGTCGAGCGGAATAATATGGAAGCTCGGAGGAAGGAGAGGTTCCAGTGCCCGGACGTGAGTCCGGACAATCTCTAGAAAAGCAACAGTCGTGTGACGCACACACTGCGACAAAGCAGGCGAGATCCCAACCGACCAAGTAAAAGCTGACAAGATCGGACACAAACAGAAGTAGGTGTCGTGTCGGGCCTGTTACGGACGCCTCACAACTGCGATGCAGTCAGGAAAACAAGGCTTCGGTTGATCTGACCCAGGTCACAGCAAGACGAGCAAGGCTCAGAGCAGGAGACCAGGCACGAGAGGCAACGCCAGGTCTGGTAATTGTCAGAAAAGTGAGGTTTGTGAAGGTCACGGGAACAACCGGGACAGATTTGGACACAAAAAGATGGCGAGATGAGGGAGGGAAAGGTAAAAAAAGAAAGGGGAAGGAAAATTTGCTCAAACTAAGCACATCGTACAATGGTCCTCTTCCGAAGTTAAATAATCAGCGACCATTTTCCACCAGGACAAGTTCCCAGGAAAGCCGCGAGGACCGAATAGCCGGACGAGAGAATTAATCAGCCTGGCGACCCAAGGCTAGTCATTCCGTAATAACGGCGATTGTGCCACCCGGGAACTGTCGACCGACACGAAACAGGGGTAGAGCCAGCGATCGTGGAGGTAGTATATTCTGTACCCATGGTGAAGGGTAGGACAGTTGACTAGTCCGTGGATGGACCGTCGTGACCAGAGGTCAAGTGGGCCGGATCCAACTTAAGTGCAGGCCAGACGGGAGAGAGTAGAGGCGAATATTTGCAGAGGCCAGGAAGACGGGCGGTTTGAGAGACAGAGTTTTGGTTGTTGGGGAATCTTGGTTGATGAAGATATCCGTCATATCAGCAGTGACGGAGAAGGGAGGCGTGAACTGTGAACCATCCCATGGGTAAAGTTGATGGGCGCAGGTGCATCTGGAGTAGATGAGGCCCTTGGGACAGCGCCAGCGGGAGGACTGGGTGCGAGCGAAAGGGGTGTCCACCGGATTCCAGTAGGCTGAGTGCTAGAGAATGAACCGGGACTGCGTGGGAGGGGAGGCCGAGTGCGAAATCGGGCAGTTAAGCGAGCTGGGGGGCGTATTCGCTCCCACCCACGCCACCCCGTTCGGGTCTGCGGTGAGTTGTCGGCCCCGTGCGGAGCTGCCCATCTTATTTCGACTTCCGACCTCGCTGGTTGGACAACTACTGATCTGCATGATTATCTTTAGTCCTGACATAGCACATTTCAAAACTGGTTCAATCCACCGGAGAATTTCCGTCTGTCTTTCTTTTTTCCACTGAAGACGTGATTAGTGATTACCTCGGCGCCGGGAGTTCTCCGCGTCAAATGTCAATCACGTGAGACTATTACTACTACTATACAGCCAATCATACAGCACCTGCAGCTGGCCCGAATTGGTGCCTCCTTCGTGAGTCAGCAGACATGAAAGGAGTCACGGGATGCCAGTACTAGATCATGAGTATCTGTCGATATTACTTTCTCTGAATACCCTACACATGAATCAATACCTTGGGGGCATATTCATGGTATGGTCTATATATGCATGACCTGCTGAGAACGACTGGCACAAGTCACTCAGAAGTCACTCCAAAGGTCATCTGATGAGTACTATCCGTTGCCGATAAAGCGTCTGTCTACATACTACTACTCATCTCTCTAGGTCGATCAATTGATTGGTCATTAATATCCATTTTTTCGTACAGACTGGACAGATCGTCATCAATCCTATAATGTTACACACTATATGAACGCCATCCCACCGCTGATATCTGGAAAAGAAACAACAAGTATGCGCCTGGTATACGACCATATAACCGCCCTCGCAGTCAGTCTTTAACACAGAAAGAGGAAATTTTTAGTGCTGGCTCCATTCAATCGAGTTCAAATCGATACCCTCCTGAACCATCTCCCACAGCGGGCTCAGCTCCCGCAGGAAATGGACGCGGTCTTGCACCGCCTTGAGCACGTAGTCAATCTCACTGTCGGTCGTGAACCGGCCAATACCGAATCGGATACTGCTGTGGGCGCTCTCGTCGCTGCTGCCCAGAGCCCGCAGGACGTAGCTGGGTTCCAAAGAGGCGGACGTACAGGCACTGCCAGATGAGAGGGCAATGTCCTTCAGAGCCATCAGAAGCGACTCGCCTTCAATGTAGGCAAAGGAGATGTTAACACAACCGGGATAGTGGCGGTCAGGATCACCGTTAAGTGTGGTGTGTTCCATGGCCAAGAGGCCGTCGCTCAGGCGCTTCGAGAGCCTTGCGATGTGCTTGGAGTCATACTGTGCAGATTGGTCAGCTAATTTCTCATCGATTTCGCTGTCTCGCCATAAGCAAATGCAACAACCCGACTCATCACCCCTGCTACGGTCGTCAAAGCGCCTTGGGGACACGCAAAGCGTGTCGCTACCCCCATGGCGCCTCAGTTAATCGATACATATTAAAGCTTATAATCATCGCGGGAACATCTTGACTGGGGAAGAATACTGAGGTTAAAAAGGGAAAGTGGAACGTACCTCCATGTCTTCATATGCAATGCGGCAAGCCTCACCAAATCCGACTACAAGGTGGGGGGCAATGGTGCCGCTGCGGAGACCTCTCTCCTGTCCACCTCCGGAAATGATAGGCTCGAGACGAACTCTGGGCCTACGGCGAACATAGCATGCACCCATACCCTTAGGGCCATATATCTTGTGGCTGGAAATCGACATCAAATCAATGTTCAGCTTGTTGACATCCAGGGGGATCTTGCCCACAGCCTGGGCACCGTCGGTGTGGAAGAAAATCTTCTTCGAGCGGCAAAGCTTTCCGATCTCCTCCATGGGCTGAATGACACCAATCTCATTGTTGACAGCCATGATACTGACAAGGGCAGTGTCGGGACGGATGGCCGCCTCCAACTCCTCCATCCGAATCAATCCATTGCTCTGCACGGGCAGGTATGTCACATCGAATCCCTCGTCCTGCAAGTGCCTGCAGCTGTCCAAAACACACTTGTGCTCAGTCTGGGTGGTGATAATGTGCTTCTTCTTGCCAGAGCGACCGAAGAATCTGGCGACACCCTTGATGCTCATGTTGTTACTCTCAGTAGCGCCGCTGGTGAAGATGATTTCCTTGGGGTCGGCGCCGATAAGCTTGGCGACGTGTTCTCTGGCTTGTTCGACCGCTTTCTCGGACTCCCAGCCGTAGGCGTGAGTTCTGGAATGGGGGTTTCCGTAGATGCCGGTAAGGTAGGGAAGCATGGCATCAAGGACACGGGGATCAGTCGGGGTCGTTGCCTGCATGTCGAGGTAGACAGGGCGGGTGCCTTGGTCCATAACAGTGGCCTGCTTCAGAATGCCGGCGGTAGGGCTCATGGACGCATCGCCGGAGATGCCCGAACCAGGAAGGTTAACCTTCTGCGCATTAAGTCCAGTCTGGTTCACAAAAGCCTTCTGGTCCTGCTTGATGGCCGTGTCCACCGTAACCTGGGCATTTCCAGCCTTGGTTTCGGAGACGTACGAGCGTCGGGGGATAGCAGCGCTGGTGGCGACCACCCGCCGGGGCAGGGATGCCGTCAGAGAGCCATGAGGAGTCGACAAAAGCCGACGGGCGTAAGCCCGGGATGCCTGTCTCAAGGCAGTAGGGGTCATAGTAGACATGATGTAAATGAAATTTGCAACTGTACCATACACGATGGATGAACAGTTGATGACCAAGGGAAGATGACAGCAGGGGGACGACGAGTTCGCCCGGTGGGAAAAAGTTTGGATCCGGTTATATCATTGCCGAGCCCGCTAGGCCCGATCGGATTTATCAGATAGTCCGGCCATTTCCCCATTGGGGGCTCGGTCTCGGTGTTACTTGGGCCCTTGATAAGGGGAGTTCGCCAGCTTCCCGCGGAGACCAACTGCGACTACGGAGAAGTTGATTAGTTGGCTTATGTAGTGAGGTAAACGTAAGACGGGTCTAAGATGAGTCTACAGAGTATAATCTCCAGGAATCCTATGCTTGGCTCCCATTGCCCAATGCGCATGCCAATGTAAGGAGGCATGTTGGATTGATTGATCAGACGAAAGATCCTAAAAGAGATGGCCGAATCCAGGCACATAGCTATGGGGTGCACATTCCACATTCATGGTGAGACAATCATTGAGTCCCGTTGATGTTGCTGGCCGACAACCTCGTCATCGGTGAATTTCCCCGGATTTCCCACTGCGAGGACCCAGCCTTATGTGTTGGCCGCTGACGGCTGACGGCTGACGAGCTGAGAAGAAAGCATCATGACAACCAACGCTCGACCGATCACGGGGCACAGGACCATTGATGTGACAGAAACCGGCGGAAAACGAGGGAAAAATTCTTGGGCGTCGAGGTCTGTGTTGACGATAGTGGCCACTAGTGCAACCGGATACTCTGGTGCCTAACAAACACCGCAAAAGCCATGGAGAATCTCTGCTGCTGCTGCTTCCGACACTCCGAGCCACCCGGGCTGAATAATCGGCCCTAGTTACGATCCGACCCTGAGCCACATCTGGGATCGAAGTTCTTCAGGGGTCTGGAGAAGAGAAGAAGAAAAAGTTCTGGAGCCTGGAGAGGGGCTGATCTTATAGATTATTTGCTTACTTACTATTACAGTCTCCAGGCTACTCCATATTTTTTCCTTTCCCTTCTGCAGCCTTACCATTTGACCAGGAACCCAACTAGAACCAACATCCAACCCCGAACAAGAAAGGGGGAGCCACACCCATTGGAACTCAGCCACGGTGAGCAGGCAGAGCATTATGTCATAGCTCAGCCACGAACCATGGCAGTCTAACCGTCACCGGCAGCCAGTATTCTTTAGTTCTCACTAGTCCCTTTGCCGTGAACAAAAGGCACTTCCTCCCCACTTCTGGCCTACCACGAGATTCCTGGTCTGATCTGCTTTGGTTATTCAACTTTCTCGACCCTCCTACGCCTTTGCGACCGTCTCCCGACCCCTTTACACCACTTCCTACCACCACCACTCTCCTGTTCTCCTAAACCGAACCCTTCCGCGGGCGTTGGGCGACCTGCGGCCAATCAGAGATGAGTTTGAAGGGCTTTCAGAAGAGCATTGTCCGCGCTCCACAACAGTTCAAGGCCAAGTTCAATATTGGCGAGCATACCAAGGACCCTGTCTACCTGGACGCTGAGCGGCGGTTTCAAGAACTCGAAAAAGAGACCAAGAAACTGCACGATGAGTCCAAGAAGTACTTCGATGCCATCAATGGTACACACGGATCCCCCCCGTCTCGCAGTCACCCCTCCTTTTTGCTGACTGACCATTTTTCTAGGCATGCTGAACCACCAAATCGGATTCTCCAAAGCGATGACGGAACTCTACAAACCCATCTCCGGTCGTGCTTCCGACCCTAGCTCCTATACAATCGAGGGCAATCCGGAGGGTATCCGGGCATGTGAGGAATACGAGGCGATTGTGCGGGACCTCCAAGAATCGCTGGTGCCCGAGTTAGAGATGATCGACACCCGCGTCATCAGCCCTGCACAGCAGCTATTGGAGGTAATCAAGGTGATCCGCAAAGTCGCGGTGAAGCGAGACCACAAGAAACTGGACTACGACCGCCACAAGAACTCGCTCAAGAAGCTGCAGGATAAAAAGGACAAGTCGCTGAAGGATGAGAAGGCGCTTTACAAGGCTGAAAATGATGTGGAGCAAGCGACGCAGGACTACAACTACTACAACGACCTGCTCAAGGACGAGTTGCCCAAGCTGTTCGCTCTGGAGGCTGAATTCATCCGTCCTCTGTTCCAGTCCTTTTACTACATGCAACTGAACGTCTTCTACACACTACACGAGCGAATGCAGGGCATCAATATCGGCTACTTCGATCTGAATCTTGACATCGAGGAAGCGTTCGAGAACAAGCGCGGAGACGTCAAGGAGCGCGCCGAGGAACTCAGCATCGTCCACTTCAAAGCCACGGGCGGGCGCAAACCTGGCTCGAAGCTTACCCCCAAGGACAAATTGGCGCAAGAGGGCAAGAGTGGTTACGCCTCACGTCAGCGAGATCCCGATGTTGTCGAGAACCCACCGCCGCCTTACTCGGCCACTGCAGGCAGCAGCTTTACCGCCGCAGCAAAGAGCAAGCCCGCCCCTCCGCCGCCGAAGCCTAAGCCCGCTCGATTCAGCGCCCCCGTCGAAACGGTCACGGCACTATATGACTATGAAGCTCAGGCGCACGGCGATCTCAGCTTCTCCGCCGGTGATGTCATCGAGATCACACAGCGAACGGATAACCAGAATGAGTGGTGGAGCGGCCGTGTTGACGGACGAGAGGGACAATTTCCTGGTAAGCATGACCGTCTATCATTATTGACAACTAGCTTGCTAATTTGTGTACCCAGCAAACTACGTCCAGCTGAACTAGCATTATGCTATAGCTATATAATATCCTTATTCCTGACTCGTCAATGTCATCACTGGTTACTTGGAGTTTCGGAGTGCCATTGTACCACTTGACAAGTAGGAATTGCCAGTCGTTTATTTTATTCTTGCCATAGAGCGTTGCATGATGATGACCGTTCGCTGTATATATTGATAATATCGAGGTTGTTTATTCCTACTGCATATCTACCATTACTTTGGGTTCTTTAGAACTTCGGAAGTATTTCAACGCATTCCTACGCAGCTTTACTAGAAGCCATGAGACATTTGATTTGTTCTGGTTATCACGTAGACGAAAAGCAACTGCATTAAGAGGGATATGGACTTGGAACAACCCTGTCCCCCCAAGCCTTCCACCAAAGAGCTAAGCCTCGAGAAATTCGGTCACTCTAGTGTATGGGTAGAAAAATTTTTGCTCTTGGGTCTGGCCGTCACTGGAGTCATGTTACTGTCAAAACATCGATGACCGACTCGGGGTTCCCAGCCTTTCTCTTGCAATTCGTGAATCGTTAATAAAAAAGACTCCATGGCTCTATCCCTTGTGATGCTATTAGAAGGGCATGGAGAGAAGCAGGGCGGCTGCAACTCGTGACGACTAAACGAAGTCGAGTCTGACTTCCAGACCTCGGGCCCAACAGCTTTTCTCTTGCGTACCACGCATGGGTCCCTGAAGAGATAATATGGTTCCGAAGGATTGCTGGGTTATTTAAGGGTTCAAGCAGGTACAAGCACCAGATTCCGAACCGCATATTGGGGGAACCGCGATCAAGCTCGGTCTTTTTGGACCGCTAGGCATCGTCAAGCATGTGGAAGTATCCTTGGTGGGCTAATACCTTTCATGCTTCGCGTTGAAAATTGGTAGTATATCTTCTTTTCAACTTCATAGGCTCAGCAAAGAGCTTGTGGGCTATCGCCGGCACAAAAGTGACATGGCTCGGCACAAAGTACTCGGTGCAGCTTGTTCAACGACTTTGTAGGGGATCTAAGAGATATAGGATAGTATTCTATCACAACCGGGGGGCTCGGTGAAGAGCGCCACGGTTCGTCAAACTTTCCAAGAAACGCGACAGAGATAGAAGCGGTGTAGACGTATAGACATTCGTCTTTCACTCCAGAAGTGGCAAGGACGGTGACCTTCAGATTCTTCAACAAGCTGTGATGATGTGTTCCTGTGATGTGCTACATACCCTGAGACACTGGCCACAGTAATGAGGGCTTCGGTCGGTGCCGCAACGAGGTGGCATGCCAGAAGATGTGCTGTTGGTTATGTGTCCATCGTCACGTTTCTCAATTGAGCACTCAGCAGCTTCTTCGCCTTGCTGATCATTTCTCTGCCTGTGCCGCCGCTGCTCTTGGGCAAGCGCGATTAAGATTCCCATTATATATGGATCTTCGACAGTATGTTCTGGCTGAAGAGATCGCAGCTTTTTATCACATGTCCTAAACACGGGCTCATTGAATCCCTTTCCCGGTGAGCTGTGTACGAACTTGCTCCGACGGGACTGTATTCCATCGAATGTGACATAGGCGAGAGATGGGCCAGTGGAGTTGCGGGAGAATACGCCCTCTGTCCAAACACTCGCGATAGGCTGCAGGCGGAAGTTGAAAGACAAAGATTCATAGCTGTGGCTGTTAGCAAGGTCAGTCGAGGGCAGGCATCAAAGTCAATTACCTGAGACGGGAGAAACCATAGGCGCCAACTGTTTCTTTGATAGCCGTTTTCTTGACCTCCGACGTCCTTCGCCCTCCAAACTGCAACATCGCACGACGGAGGTCTGCAGGCAGATTTGGTCTTCGGAGATTGTGAACGGGTGAACCCAATAATACAAGTTGGGGGGTTGGGCGCTCCTTCCTCTTGCTTGTCTGCAGAGTGAACCTGCAGCCCAAGAGCCGCAAATGTCTCAAAGTCCAGGCTACTGGAGGAACATATAGGCGGTCTCGACTGTTATCGCGTAAGATTGATTCAATTGAATTGGGCTCGATTGACCATCTTATCGTTGGTTGCGGCCTGAAGTGACCGCGAGGCCGTACAGAAGGACACTGAGGATCATCAGTGGCCTTGCGCTTGAGTCTATCTGGCATCTCGTAGCATTATTTCATTGTAAACCCCAGCAGATTTAGGATGTGCTGGCCGCCCGCGAGTAATACCAAAACTGAAGGAGGTTTAACGCGTCAGTAATGAATGCGTCTGGAAGCCAGGCCCAAATGTCACGAGGTCACGTGCATAGATACTATAGGTCCAATGGGCACTTGGTTTGATACTATTGATCTATCGGCAAATGTATGTATGTAAATTTGTGTTATAGTGGTTTCCTCGTTGCCAGGACAGTTACATTCTTGCGTTTTGTCCACTCTAGATTCGGATTGGACTTCACTGACAACATAGACACCACAGAGCAGCACAGAGTGACCTCGCTGCAAATGAAGACAATGACAGCTTCAAAGACTACATGCACAGCACGAAGTAGTTCCATCTTCAATCACCCACTGCCAGAACGTCTGTCCTATGTCATATCATGTCGCTTATCAAGTGGCAAGACAGGCGGAACTCTCTATTCCAAGATATAGATAACCAAGATGAACTCGGGGATGTGGTGACTCCTCCATGTAAAGATGCAATAGCTATAGCCACTATAGAGGTGACCTGCAGCTACATTCAGGTTCTTCTAAATTATTGACATACCCTTGAAGGCTTCGTTACTCGGGGCCTCTGATCCTTTACATCCAAAACCCTTGCGACAGAGCTTAGATAAGAAAGATGATTTTTGGACGGCCCGCACCTATCCAAAAATGCATGTCGTTGTTGCAGTATGGCGATGAGAGAACAAAACTCGGGGATTTTATGATATTCAAGTCCAAGTATCCTGTTAGAGAGCTACGGGGCTCTAGTTGTGACTCTTACAGCACTTACTTGAGCGCTCGAATAATATCTCGTCGTGGACCAGCGCTGGCGGCACTCATGATCGATGAGGAAACGGACGGAGTAGGCAGATCACTCTGCCTATCTATTCTTCCCTATTGAAAACTCTGCCTGTTAATTCATCGATTCTGCAATTAGGGCCTCATCCGTAGTGTGTTGTGTCGACTCTCTCGGTGAAAGTAACATTCACGACCGGATGCTTTCTAGAGATGCTGCAGCCTGCAGAATACCGCAAGACTAAGAATCGCCAGAAGGAAACTTTGCTGCGAGTAAACGTTTTCTTAGCGTTATATTTGGCTCGATTATCATTACTAGAAAACTGTTTAGTCGTCTCACCATTACTGTTTCACCAAACCAACAACCTCAAGCCATCCAAATATGGGCATTTTCCCTTTATAACATCAATCACCTCATGCACGTCCATCAACTCCATCAAAGATAAGACTAAAACTTATTCAAAATAATCCAGTCTCACCAGCCTAATGATCACCCTGAAACCGCACATCGCGTTCATCTTCTAGAAATGCCGTTGCTAAGTATAGCAAGAGCCGCCCGAACCCAATAATGAGAACCCACCAGGAGGTCCAAAAAGGAGCTTTCACTCAATCCAAGTACTTAAAACATCCTTATTCCAAAAACAATCTAGCTCCAAACATAGCTAATTTCCCATTGACAATCACCATTGCACTAATCGAGCCAGTAGCACTTCAAAATTGGCCAAAGGGAAAGAAACATGGCACTTTGCGCACAAGCCAAGAACGGCCAGAACCGCAACCACACCAACAACAAGCTAGCTACCACCAAAGAACTGGGTGATGAACATGAGATTAGATCTTCCCAAATACAATCGCTGAACATCCCAGTCTATGATACCACACTATTCCAATCCAGATATATCTCCGAGCACGACACGAGACGAGAGGAGGTGCATGCATGCATCTAGACGCACGTACCCAACCCAGCACTCAAGATCAAAGTATCTCATCCCCCCCTCCTCATCCTGCAAGATAGATACCACACATCCATCGTGCATTCGCTAAAGGAACAAGCAAAATCACATGTACCGTTCGGTCCGAGGAACAAACTCATGTTCCTGTTTCCCCTCTCCCGCTTTCCCTCCGCCACAGTAAAAGATTAACTGGTTCCTGCTCCTGCGGGAGGCACCACGCCGCTATTGGGCCACGCCGGGGGTGATCGACAGTTTAGTGAGCCCTAAGATGCGGGGTGTTGATATTTAACGGTGGCGTAGCGTAGCATACACTAGTTACTAGACATCAGAACGCAAGAGCTTATCCTTTCCTTGCTCGGTTCACATGTAGGTCAGATTCTCCCTAACTAGGAACACGATTATCCTCGGAGGTAGTATTTGGCATGGTGGCCAACAACAAAGCCCGCTCTCCCTCCCTCTTCCAAGGCAAGGGATCTCGAACATCTTCTAACTACTAGTACTACATAGTACTAGTCAGTCTCACTCAATTCTAGGCCCGATAAGCAAGCCCAGAAATACTACTAATTACCCCCCTATAATAGTATAAAGCCACAGTCCATATAATTATACACACAACAGTAACTATCTTGAACCCCTCTACCAATTCATAATCCATCCAATCTCAACCCTAACACCCCGAATCCGAAACCAAACACCAAAAATCAAAATGAATCTCAAACACCTCCTCCTCTTCAGCACCACCCTCGCCCCAATCTCCCTAACCCTCGCCAATCCCAATCCCAACCCGGTCGGCCCCCGAAGCCCCCAATCCACAGGCCTACTATCCGACCTCCCGTCCCTCATTGACAACCTAAAGGAACTCCTCAGTCAAGACACAGTCGATAACCTGGAAACGATCGTCAAGGGGGCAGCAGTGCTACTGGGCGGTGATACGCCTCAGAATCTGCAAAAGTTGTTGTCGAGTAGCAATATCGACAAGTTGCAGAATATTATCGATAATGCGGACTTGTTGTTGACAACGTCGTTTGTTAATGAGACGAGTGAGTTGATTGGGGATGCGTTGCCGGTAAGCTTCTATTCTTCCTTCAGACTGTACTACGTGAGAGAGTGTAATGCTAATGGATGGGGTATAGTTGGTAACTGATGTATCGGCGTTATTGACGGCGATTATGAAGACTGCTTGATATGCAGGTAGTAGTATATAGGATATAGTAAACTGAATGAGAATGATGATAACGATATTATTGCTTCAATTGCTCCTAATACTCCGAATCACTAGCCGGGACCATAGCAAAAACCTAACTATCCTAGCTAACTAAATAGAACAAAGAAAAAGAAAAGCTAACTAAGCATTCAACTTCGCCTTCAACTCCCCCAAATAATACCTCAACGGATATCCTCTCATCGACGCAGGCAGCGCCGGATACACCGCGACCGAGAACCCCATTGTCCCGCGATACAATCCCCTCGTCTTAGCCGACGACTTGAGCCCATACGCCTCGCGAATCCGAGGCGGAAGCATCTCGATCGTAATGACCCTCAGCAAGGGCTTCACGGTCGAAACCCAGCGAGGGATATCCGTCCGATTCAGAAGATCCTTTGCGAAGAGATGCGCATCCCCGCTGACATTCAACCGCTCGATCTGGTCATCCCAGTACGTCCAGAACGCCTGACGAGTGGGCGGCCAGACGTCCTTGGCGATGTTGAGACAGGACAAGATCGTAGTAAATTCGATGTAGGCTTTCTCGGCAGTGCGGTAATCAACGCGGCCGTAGATGCGCTGGTAGAAGTCGGTAGCGGTTGCGTAGAGGGTGGCTGTGAGCCAGAGCTGGATGTAGGGGTCGCAAGGGAGTTTGGTAGGGAGAGGGGCGTTGTCTTTTTGAAGGAGGTCGAGAAGGAGTTTCTTCTCTTCTTTGGTGCCAAAGACAAGGCAGGCGATGTAGCTGAGGGCAGTTTGAAGGGTGCTGCTGAGATCGTTGGCGAGGTTGCTGTCGGTGCTGGTGTTGGCTGGGGTGATGGTTTCGGTCTTGGTTCTGTTGGCCTCCTCGAAGGCGGATTTGATGCTGGGGTAGGCCGCCTGGAGGAGGAGAGCGGCGCCGGAGCCGGCAAAGAGAATGCCTTCTTGGAGGATTTGAGGGAGAATTTCGAGCTTATCAAGGGCTTCGAGATGGTTGCTGGTCACAGTGGTGCTTTGGGAGGAGACCGGGGAGATGCGGTCTGATGCTGCGGCGGCGGCTTTTTCGTCCATTTTGCGTGAGTTGGTTGTTTGATTAGGGGATGGGTGGTAGTCAGTAGCTGCGTGGTTTACTACTTTGGTCTGACAGGTGCGATTAAATCAAATTGGTGGTTAATGGCCTCCGCTGATAAGAGCAGCTCGATGCACATGCCGGTGCAGCAGCATTGCAGGAGGGTACGAGAATATACGTGCACAGGCACATCCGCGGCCTGCAAGCGAGAAAGCATATCAATCAACAATCCTGCGAATAGATAGACCAACAAACCTCTCACAGCAGGGCATCAGTTGACCAAGGATTTACTTTGCCAAACGACTGCGGATAAGCATCCCCGCATCCCCATCGGGCAAAGAGTCCGAAGTCCCCAGAATGCAGTGGATCATCCCCCGTTTCATCCCAAATTCGAGCGATGCCCTAAAAGCGGCCACCAAAACCGGACTCCAAAAACAACGTTCAACCGCGGTTCTCAATAGTCGGGCGGATCGTCGCCCTGACCAGGCCGCATGTGAACCCAGTCCATGGGTCATCATTGGGCCTGCAATTTCCCACTTACACTGATCGACGGGTTCCGGGACGATCCTTGCGGAGAGATGGCAGGGGCTTGAGGGTTGCATTCCGAGGGCGGCAGGTGTATACGAGAATCACGACGATAGCGAGGTTTTTTAGCTAGTCGGTGGATTTGCCAATGACTCCATACTATCAGCCGTTAGTATATCAGATCAAGCACCCCGGTTCCCGCCCCTCTTCGCCGGCGACCGTCCCAGCAGCAAGGGCCACATCACCATGGACGAGAAGAAAACCTATCTCACCTCCAAGGAGGCCAAATACGCCCTGGGTATCCACCGTGGTCCTCTGCCCACCGAAGGCCTGGAAATCGAACATGTTGAGACGGCCCATTCCATCTCGTTGGAGCCGGTAAAGCGTACGCGATCGCAGACTCTGCGTCGCCATTGGGCTCGGTTCTGGTGCTGCTATGCATTTTGGGGCATTATCTTCCTGGTGATTTTTCTGCCCATCTTGTATGCTTCCCTTCTTTCTATTTCGTCTTCATCCTGTTTTGGGCGATAACTGACGATTTATCAGCTTTTGCTTGATTATTCCCGCCATTGCCCAGCGAGTTCTGGACAATGGTACTCTCGTCCTCGTTCACGCCGACGTGCTCCAACCACGCCCCAATTCCATCCAGCTCAGCATCAATTCTGCCCTGGACTTGCCCATCAGTTTCCCTGTACGCATGAATAACTTGACACTTTCCCTCTTCAATCGCTTTCTCCCGGAGAACAACACCTGGGCAAAGCTGTACATGGACGGCGCTACAATCAATGGGAACACAACCCTCACCGTGGATGACCAATTTACTCCCTTGGATGTCTACCAATGGACACAATATGTTCGCAGTGTAGTCTTCGAGCCTCATGCTCCATTGTCCGTCAAGGCCCCCGTCACTGCTTACATCGGGAAGCTGAAGTCCAAGATCACATTGAACAAGGACATTAAGCAAAATAGTGCGCCTCCTACTCCTCCCAATATATTTATCAACTGCTAATTCCCTATTTCAACATGACAGCCCTCAACTCCTTTGCAGGCTTTTCCATCTCTGATCCAAAACTACTTCTTCCCGCCGAATCCGACGGTACCAACTTGATCGCCAACGCTACCCTCCCCAACCCGTCCGTGATGACTCTTGAAATCGTGAGTCTTCCTATCGTTTCATGCACTGTAATCAGATTATAACCCATAACCAGGGCAACACCACTATGAACCTCCTCAGCGGCAACCTCACCCTCGGAAATTGCACTCTCAACAACCTCGTGCTTAGACCAGGCAACCACTCCACACCCGTACGAGGGATATTGGATCTCGGCAAACTCATCGAAAACATCGGGCCTATACTAAGTGAACAAAGCGACTCCATCAAAGAAGGCTACCTGAGTCTCACGACCGTCGGTGCGAACGTCGAGTATGAGGGCGTTCAGGTCCCGTACTACACGGAGGTCATGAAGAATCTGACCATGACGGCAAAAGTGCCGCTAGGGTCGCTGATCAGCAACACCCTAAGCGGCATCTTGCATCCCAATGGGACCAATCCCTTCGCGGGGCTAAACATGACTACTGATAGTGGAGAGACGTTTACAGTTGGTGAGGACAAGGCGGATAGTGATGGGGCATCGTTGGGGCGAAGGGCATTGGAAATGCTGGGGCAAGAGGAGAAGAGGAATGAAGTGGTCGATGTCTTGAAGGCTGTGATGAAGAGGGGAGCTTACGAGATATGATACTGGATTTCAGTGTTTTGTTTGGGCGATGGCGCTGGCGTTATCTATAGTATATCCTGTTGATACTCTTATTGTTAATGTATACCTGAGCTGGATTTGGGGTAATGAGGGTGGGATTTTGACCAATTAGCAGACGTTCTCATTGAAGTATACCCAAACTCTTACATGCATCCAACGAATCACTCTTCATAATTCAAGAAAGTTCCTCACAGACCCTTGCATCTTTCCCCTACCCCCCTGATCATTCAGATGCAAGACACACCCGCAAGGGCATGCATCACCAACCGAACCGTCCCATGACCTCACCCTCCATCCCTGTCTTCAACTATCCCCTCCTTCCTCCCTCCCTCCCAAACCATCCCCTACTCCAACAAACTACCAAATAATGACACCACACAGCTTGAACGTCGCCGTAATCGGCAGCGGCCTCGCCGGCTGTCTCGCCGCCCGCATCCTCCGTGAGCAACATACCGTGACCATCTACGAACGCGAAACCGCCAAAGCCGAAGCCGGGGCCGCCATCAACCTCGGCCCCAATGCCGTGCACATCCTCAACAGTGTAGACTTTGATCGTCGCCGCGCGTGCTCTATCCCAGTAACTCGGGTACTGTCGTACAACAAGCAAGGCGAGCTCACGCGGGAATCCATCCACGATTACGTCCAGGAGTTCGGGACAGACTGGTTATTTCATCATCGGATGGATCTGCGAGATGAGCTTTTGAGGTTAGCTACGGCGCCGTCGGAAGAGTTGGGGTTGACTGGTGAACCGGCGACAGTGCGATTTGGGGCGAAAATTGTAGGTGGAGATGTTGATGAGGGGAAATTGATATTGGAGGATGGGGAGGTGGTTGAGGCGGATCTCGTTATTGGTTCGTTCTATATTTCCTTTTCTCTGGTCTACTTGGTATTGGATAATATCTTTGTTGCAATACTAACAATGAACAGCCGCGGACGGCATCCGATCCATCATGCGCGGCCCCGTCGTCAACGACGACGCATACATCACCGCTCAGCCATCGGGCTCCTCTGCATTTCGGTTCACCATGTCCCGGGAGAAGGTCATCGAGTTGCACAATGGAGAAATTCCGGAGATAATGGACTCAAGCAAACCAGGCACTTTGTTGGGAGTATACGCCCTCGACCCTACGGAGCGGCGAGTGATCATGTACCCGTGTCGGAATTACGAGATCCTCAACTTCGCTGTACTCGCACCAGACAATATGCTCAAGACCCCAGCGTCATCCGACTCGTGGTCTGCACCAGGTGACAGAGACGAGATGATCTCGCTGTTTACGGACTTTCCGGACTGGGTACTTAAGTATTTTCGGTATTGTCCCCTTTTCCCCTTGGTACGCTATATGTTGGGCGTTAACAAAAAGGTAATGGCTACAGCGCCGCAGAAAATATTAAGCTCTGGCAACTCCGCATGCAGGACCCCTTACCCACGTATATCCGAGGACGAACGGTCCTAATCGGCGATGCTGCGCACGCCATGACGCCTCATCAGGGACAGGGAGGGTGCCAGGCCATTGAAGATGCAGAGGGGTTTCGGCTTTTCCTTGGAGACCATGTCACAAGGGAGAACGTTCCTACTATCCTGGAGGACTTTGATCGTGTGCGCAGGCCTCGGGCGTCGCAGATTCAGCTGAATACATCGCAAGCTACGGCGAGGCACTC